GGCTCCCCACATATCTGAAAAAGGACTTCTTATTGTCCTTGATGCTCAAAGCTAGCTGGAGTTCAGTTGCAGCCTTGGCTTTCCTGGTCTGCTCCCTACAGGACCGGACCAGTGCAGAATAATCCTCCTTGGAGGTGACTCCCATCCTCCACCCTTTGTAGGCCTTTCTTTTTAGCCTCAGGAGATCTGCTAGGTCCCTGGAGAGCCAGGGGGGCTGCTGTGCCCTCTTGCTGCCTTTCCTCCGAGATGGAATAGACTTAGTTTGTGCATTGGGGATCGCTCCCTTGAGGAGCAACCACTCCTCTTGAACTCCCCTCTCCCTGTGGTCACGGTCCCTTAGGGCCTCACTGACAAGCCTCCTGAGCTTGTCAAAGTCGGCTTTCCTGAAGTCAGTCAAAGTCGGCTTTCCTGAAGTCAAATGAAAATGAAACTCAATGACTGAGTTTCTCAAAGGCGAACAAGCCCAGAGTGTCAGAGGCATCTTGGCATTGTAGAGCCTAATCCCTAGGCTCCTTGCCTCACAGGAGAGTCCTTAATTTGTTTGTACTATTTATATGCTGTCCTTCCCAACAAAGGCTCAGGGTGGTATACAATAGTGGTTTTCAACCTTTTTTTATAAGTGTACCCCTGGCGGCGGGGGAAGGGGGGAATGAGGGGGGAGGGTGGCAGCTGCCACATGCAGAGCATCAGCAGCATGGGGTGGTGAGTGGTGGTGACAGCTGCCGCATGCTAGCTTCCCCCCACATCCATCTGGTCGCTGCCCTTGCCCCCTGGCCCTGCTCCTGGGAGGTGGCAGTACTCTGTCCCTGCCCACCTGCACTTACCCCCTTGGGCCTTCCCAAGTACACCCAGGGGTATGCATACCCCGGTTGACAACCCCTGGTATACAGCAAGAGGAATAGAAACTTAAAAAGGCAACTAGAATAAATAAAACAATATAAAATAAAGTGGAGACCTACTGAACAACATGTTGGGCATGTTTGGTTGCTAAATGCCTGCCTACAGAGAAGGGTCCTGTAGCTCTTCCTAAAAATATCTAGGCTCGAGCTCTGTAAGGCCTCAAGAGGAAGAGATTTCCAAAGCTGAGGAGCGACTGCTGAGACTGACCTCTCACTTGCTTTCAGCAAGTGGATTTGGTGTACTGATGACACTTGCAGAAGGTTGCTTTCAGCTGACCTTGGGGATAGTAATGAGGTACTGGGGAGAAGGTATACCCTTACGTATGTAAGTCCCAGGCCGTTTAGGGTTTTATAGATGAAAACTAGCACCTTCAATTGTTTCTTGAAAGCTGCTGGAAACTCATATGGGTTGCACTGATGTCACCCTGGTCCAAGGCCCATTCCAACATGCACTAGGCCATGGGGCAATGGCGTCACCTTGCAGACCACCTCTTGGAGATCTTTAAGAGAAACTGATCTGGCGTTCACTCTTATCTGCGTCAGTCTGCCAAACAGGAACTGTCCACTGACAATAGATCCAGCCTGGACTGCCTCACCGGGTCATTCAGAAACAACTGCTCCATTGCCTCAGTTCTTTCCAACTTTGTTTGCTTTGATCTCTACTCATTTTGCAACTCTTTCAGTACTGAATACCTCCTTCAGTTTTGTCCAGTCAACTTTAGGATTAATGTTGCCAATACACATAATGGACCCAAGTCCAATAGGCTGCCAGTTACTGACAACCAGGATCCTGATTTTCCCTGATAAAACATTGCAAATTCTCTGATAAAAATCCCAGTGTCCGTGTTTAAAATTAAAGGCCCTGCCACAGCCCCTCTGGCCCTGCTGGTTCCCCTCACTCCCCACCCATAGCCCCCCAGGCCCTGCTTGTGCTTCTCACTCCCCTCCATAGCCCCCCAGCCCTGCTGGTGCCCCTTGTCCCCCACCCACAGCCCCTGCCCCCCCAGCCCTGGTGGAGGGCCCCTCAGCTGCCAGGGCTATGGGGCCTGGGTCCACAGCCCCATGTCTCCGACACAAGGCAGAGGCTGCTGCAGCGCTGCAGAGCACAGAGGTGGCTCACTGCTACTGCCTGCAGTGGGGTTGTGTAGATGGGCCCAGCTCCCTGCTGTGGCGCATACTCCTGGGAGGAAGGGGGGACCCATGCCCCCCAGATCTGTGCATGGGGTGGGGGTGGGTGCACACTCAGGGATCTGGTTCCTGTCCTGCTACCCTCATTTGGGGTCTCCACAGCCTGGGGGGTGTGACCCAGTGTTATAGGGCAGGGCACAGCTGCTCAGGAAAGTTGCTTGCTGCTGCGAGCTCCATGATGCCCTGGTGACACATCTCCCTCATGCACGGCAGCAGTGAGGGCCAGAACCCCACACTGCTGCCCGCAGTGCTCCTGTGTGTGCAGGGGACACGTCTCCAAGGAAGTGCGGCGCTCGCAGCGGCAAGCACCTTTCCTGTGTGGCCCTGTGTTCTAACTCATGGCACTTTCTATGAATCGCCATGAGTTAGCTCTGGGAGCTGCACTTCTGTCCAGACCCAGGGGCTGTCTGGGGATGGGTAAGGGGTGCAGGGGGTAGAAGCAGTACCTGTAGCCCTCAGAGGACCAGTCACAGGTACCGCTGGAGTAGCTGGAGCTGGCACAGGGTGCCAAACAGCGGAGGACAGCATTTACCCATAATGAGATTTCATGGTGCACTTTTCTTGCGTTTTTGGCTCTCACCCTTTGTGAATCACTGAGCTATACCAACATTATTCTCACTTGACAACGCATGGTCATTCCCAGCTAATGCACTAAATGTACTGGTGCCTCTGCCTCCCAGGTGGCTCAGTTGTCTTCTGATGGCCAACCCAAGGCCTATTTCACACTGGTTCACCAAGACACTTGCCTGTATTCACTTGCTACATCTTGATCTTGATAATAAATTTGGGATACAGCCCTCAGAATACCAACGTGATACTTTAAGGTGTTTGTACATGTGATGGGGGTTTATTCCTCAGGGTTTTATTCTTACAGTCTACAGTCTATTGTTTCAACTTTTCAGTCATGTTATGGTGAGGGGCCCAATCCTTTTTTATTTTTCCCTGCTTGGGCAGCCTGCTAGCAGCTGAGAGGCAGCATTCAGCTCAATTTGAGCTGGGGCAGCACCTGGCCCACTAGGAGCCCATCTGGGCCGCCCCAGGGGGCGCTGCTGCTGTGGAGGGAAGGGCTGCTCAGACCACTGGCTGCTTGCCCTGCAGCCACGGGAGAGGTGGATAGGCTCCTCCTCCAGAAAAGAAAAAAAGGATCAGGCCCCTCACCACTTCTACCTTTAGCAGGTTTCTATGGGTGGCAGAATGTGTGGGGCTGCCTGAGAATGGGGGGGCTTGCCCAGGGGGCAGCACAGGGAGGTGGCATGAGGGCAGCTGGCTGTGCTGGCAACCAGAGAAGGCATCGGGGATGGTGCATGGGGTGCTGGATGCCTGGATGGGCTATTAGCTAGCTGGGTGCTGCCCTAGCTCAGAGGTGCCCGATCTAATGCTTCCTTGAGCCCACCCAGACTTCATCATGTACATTGTCCCTGACATGTTCTCTGGCTGGCAGCACACCTAGTCGCTCTCCTGCTGCCTCCTTGCACTGCCCCAGGGGCCAGCTGGGTAGGCTGGCACCTGGAGAAGGCAAATGGACCACAGGGTGCTAAAAGTCTGAGTGGGCTTGGGGAAGCATTGGATTGGGCACCTCTGAGCTAGGGCAGCACCCAACCAGCTAGTAGCCCTCTCGGGTGGTCCCGTGCCCCATCCCCACCACCTTCTCCAGCCTCCAGCACACTCAGCCACCCTCCTGCCACCTTCTTGCACTGCCCCAGCATCAAACCTGGGTGGCCCCAGGCATCCTGCTTGCCGCAAGAGCCTGCTGAAGGCAGAAGCAGTGAGGGGCCCGATCCTTTTATTCTGTGGAGCATGCCTGCCTCTCCTGTAGCTGGGAGGTGAGCAGACAGCTGCATCGTAATTTGTAATGTTGCAAACTAAACTATGTTGGGATGTAGTTGCAACCAAGCAGACACATCTAAAACCCCCAAACTGGTGCACGTGTAATGTGTGACGCCATTAAGTCAAACAAATGGTATGTTCATCACATGTACATCGTGATGACAGTCACATGTACAAGCGCCCTTAGGTGCCTATTTATCATTGAGCCACCTCTATGTGACCTGTGTCACAACCCAATTAAATTGTGCCCATGCCACTGAGCAAGAGATACCATTCAAATCATCCTCATTTTGACGATTAAGGGTTAAAAGACATCCCTGCCAAAAATTCCTTGAAACAAAACGCGGCCAGAGTACTGTAGATAATTGGTTAGCTGAAATAAAATGCTAGGGGAAACTATATATAATTGGTCAAAGATAAACGTAAGCTCCTCACACGTAGCACACACGTAACAGGTAGAGAAACCTAACCCACTACCTTGTAACTTGAGGAGACAAAGAGCTGCCACCTGCCAAAAATTAAAGATTCCATATAACGGTTCACCATTGGGTATCCCTGTAAAACACCTCTGCCTATAAATAGTTTAACGGTTTCCGCCCAAGGTGGAGAGCTCTGGGGATCTCACAGGAAACACCTGTGCTTGTCACCAGAGAATTGGGAAATTGATCAATTCCTAATCAATCACCCCGTCAGCGTAAAATATTGACGTAGAAAGTCTTGCAAGCCCGACCGTTCGTTCCGGCGCCATGTCCGTCATTATCCCGTTGTAACCTGACTGCGTGCGTGTACTCAACTCTGTAACTGAAGTTATATGCGTATACTCGACTCTGTAACCGAAGTTATATGCGTATACTCAACTCTATAACCGAAGCTGTAATGGAACAAAGGCTCGCCTGCGTCGTCCATCACTATCTAGGCGACGTAAGTAAACAAACTCCTGTAACCTACACGTGTCTGTGCCTGGTTAATTCCACTCCATCCATCAATTACCTGCCTGCCGAGCTCTAAATCTAAACACTCCGGTGTGAGTCAGGCGGCTGCCGGCGGCTGCTCTGATTCACGACAACCTGGTCTTTGTTAAAGTCTGACTGTTTGGAGAATGTCTCTTTCCTCAAATAGGCTCAGCCCCTCTCCTTTGCATCTTGCCACTGAGCAAACTTAGTCTCTCTCCTGCACTTTCAGCCTGCTTTAGGCTTAGCCCCTAGGCCAGGTGTCTTACCTCTGAGCAACCTCTATTTCTTTATGTCTAGGACCTGTCAGTCCACAGATGAATAGAAGACATATAGCACCCTATGCCAGGTGCACAGAGTGGCCTTCGTACTCCCCTACTCCACCCCTTGCCTCATGGTTAAAAAACAAAACCATCGATGAAATATACTCAAAACCTGACTAAAACCAATATTAACCTTCAGGGATGCCTTTCTTCAGGCCTTTTCCTTTCCATTGCTGGCTAAGACCAGCCTGAGCCCCTCTCACCTTGCTCATTGTAGCATGCATCCTTCAGGGAGTTGCACTTGGTTCCCCTGCCATGGCCAGGTTGACCCTCTCTGACACACAGCTGGGTTAAGATCCCTCTTGAGCTCTGCTTCATCTGGTCACCCCACTCCCTTATCCCCTAATCGGACACAGGGGTTATGTGATCTACAGCCTACACCCTGCACTCTCCTCAGTAACAGGGGTTAGGGGTCCCTGTTACAGGTGTAATAAAATTGACGATGATCAGGCAGATACCCTGCTTCTTACGTATTTCCTGAATTATCACAGCTACAGCAACACTTCGATGCTACTCTTATTCAGGCAGCTAGACACTGGCTTATGTGCAGATATTTGAATAGCCTAGTAATATAAATGCATATGGTAACTTGCAATACATATTTTCAGTATAATAAAAATAATTAACTTAGAGCAGTGACACTCAAGCTTCTGGCCCTGGGGACCAGGTTGCAGAGGCAGGGTGGATCCACAGGCCAGATCCTGTGTGGGGTCGGCATGCTGGATCCAGCTGTGAGGTGACCCATTGGCACCAGATCCAACCCTGTGCACAGTGGATGTGGCTGTGGGACAACCCTGCATGTGTCAAATCTGACCCATGTGCTGGAGAAATGCTATGTACCCAAGGTCTGGCCATGTGCCCAGAATGACCCCACACATACCAGATCCGACCCCTCACACTAGAATGACTGCATATAGCACCATGTTATCCCACCTGTGGAGCTCCCCACAGCTTTGGATGCTTAATGGCAGGGGAGAGGTGGCAGCTTTAATTACTGTGGCCTCCAGAGCCATGGCGATTTATGCTCCCACTGTTCCCCCACCTACAAATCAACACCCGCAGACTGGACGACATGGCCCCATGGGCTGCATTCAGCCTATAGGCTACAGGCTGAGCATCACTGATTTAGGGTTAAATCTTGAATGACACATTACCACACAAACATTAGAACCAAAGAAAATTTGTCACAGGAGCTAATTTCACTGACCAACAGCTATCTCGAGAGACTTCAGCAGAAACACACATCTCAGTATGTAGCTTCATCCTTTGAGCCTTGAAGACGACATAATTTGTATATCCCCCTGAGAATTTTTTAATTACTCATAATTAACTACCATGTATCTCCATAGTAATTTTTGGGGTCATCATAGAAACAATGTATGGCATTAAGGAAGTTTATAGCATACAATAGAGCTGTAGTTCCCTCCCCAAATAGGAAATGGTTTCTAGAATAAATAATTTCTTCTGCCCTCAGTAACATCACGAAGCAACGAGCTCCACACATGTTAAAAATATTTTAACATATTTGTATTATATTTGTTGCCTTTAAGCATATTGTTGTCATGCCTGAATTGTCAATCATTCTTAATGACTTATTAATCATTTTTATGGCAGCACCTTAGTGGCCATAGTTTAATGCTGTTTCATGAATTTTAGAGAATT